AGCGGATGGACGCGGTGCAGTCGCTGTGGACGGAGGAGCAGGCGCAAGCCATCCGGGCGTGCACGGCGGGGCTGCCGGCGTCGGAGCCGCTGTTGGGCGGGTGGGTCATCGTGTCGATCAACAAGCGGGGCCTGCTGCAGGAGCGCGTGGTGGTGCTCTCGCGCGAGGCCGTCTACCGGTGCAAGTACAAGTACAAGGAGGCGCGCCTCGCCCACTACAAGCGCATCGCCCTCACCTCCCTCCTGGGCGCCTACATCGGACCCTACCGATCCGACCACGGACGCCGCCCCTGCGGCCTCTGCCTCCTCACCAACGACAAGAAGGCACAGCCTCCCCCCCTCTCCTACAACCACCCATCCACCCATTTCTTTTCTTTTCCTCTTACTTTTTCTTCATCGGTTTGGGGGGGTCAACGTTGCAGAAGCCCTACCACTACTTCCAGGCCCTCCTTCCGGCGGGCGCCCCGCTCGAGCTCGGCCGAGGTGACCCCCCTCAATCCCAATCCCACTCCCTCCTCCCATTCCCACCTCTGCACATTCGGAGCCATCCCGATGGTGATGGTGATGGTGATGGTGATGGTGATGGTGGTGACTGTGTGGCAGAGATCATCGACGACATCGTGGAGATGATCACCGAGGCGTGGACGGATGCCGACGAGGCCGCCACCGACGACGACCAGGGCGCGGGCTTCTTCGTCGAGGAGACCGAGCTGGCGTTCCCCTCCTCCGGCGGCGTCACCAAGGTGCGCACCACCGCCGATCCCCCATCCATTCCCCCCCCCCACACCACACACATGCCGGTGCGCGTGCAGTGGTGGATCATCGGAAAACAGATGACAACCTGGTGGTGGTGGTGGCCCATGATCATAATAATAACGGCCTGCTGCTGGTGGTGTTCGTCGCGGGTGCGCGCAGGTGCCCGTCCGCAAGGCCTACAACACACTGCGTCTGGGCCTTCGTTCCCCGAAGGACTCGTCGGCGCGGCGCGACCAGTCGGCCTCCTCTTCATCATCGTCGCCCTCCTTATCGTCGTCCTTGGGCAGGTCTGCCTCGCCTCCCTCCCGCCGGGCGCACGACGACTAGGCCGAGGAGAGGAAGAGAAAAAGATGTACAACAACAAACGACGCCTTTCTTGTTTCAAGCAAAGAAAAAAAAAGGGCCTCTGGTTGGTGCCAGAGCAACAATAGATGGAGGAGGGCACAGTGCCCCCCGCGAGAGACGACAGCAGAGCGCCAGCAGCAGAAGCGGCACCTCTTGTGGTGGTGTTCGTGGGTGCGCCGTACCCCGCCGCCTCTCCGACCACCGGCCAGGGCGGCACCACCTGTGCTGCTACGACGACGACGAGG